GTCCGCGTCCGGTGCGGGATTTCTGCGTCCGCGTCCCGTGCGGGATTTCTGCGTCCGCGCTGACGAGGGCCGTCCGGCCCATGGTCTCCATGCACCCGTGGCGGATTTCAGCATGTGCCCTTGGCCTCATGACAAGAAATAGGAGAAGTTCCTTGTTTAGCCCCTGAAAGGGCTTGTATGTAGCCGGCATGATTTCCTCGAACTGTGTGAACGGATTTGCCGGGGAGCCGCTGGGGTCTGCGCGTTCCTGGGGAAATCTTCCAGATTCAGCTTCCCGCAGGCGAAAGGCTCTGTGCGTGTTCTCGGTGGTGTCCCTTCGGGTGCGGTTAAGCCTCGATCGGGTGCGTGTGCCGGTCACGGTGCTGCGGCACGTGTGCGCACAAAGGAGCGGAGCGTCCACTTCCCGTGTCCCTCGCGCGTGAGGGGTCGCGGGACGGCTGCGTGGGTAACTCCTGTTCTCCGTGTCTTGCTCCTGGCCACTGCTGCGGACGGCTGCTGGGTTTTTTAGGTCTTCCAAGAGCCGACTTGCGAGTCCGCTGATTGACTGTACGAGCGTGTGCCTGATGTTACGTTCACGTGTGCCCGGCCGGCGTTTTTTCTGACCCGCGTTGGACGTAGGGGCTCGGCACACGTGCTGACGTCCCGCTCTGTGCCCGCGCGCCAATGTTCCCATGGCCGGGACTTAGGTTGTCGCGCGCCCTCCCTCACTGATGCCGTCGGATCCCTCCCCGCGGGGATCGTGAGCTGCTGCTGGACTCGCACAGTCGGGGACCCGCTGGCCGCCTGCTGCTGGACTGGGTGCCGGGCAGGGCGTGGGCTGTTCCCGTCCCCGAGCTGCGTTCTTGTCACCTGAAGTGACAGCGGCACAGGGACTTCTTGCTCTCCCTGGAGCGCGGGAAGGAGCGCGTTTTGCGTTTGGAGGGAGCGCTGACCTCCTCTGTGCGGGGCCGCTGGGTTCGGAGGTCCCGCCGTCTGCAGGGAGAGTCGCTGCGAAATCCCCGCGGGAGCGGCCGTGGGGGTCCGGGAGGCGCTGACGGCCGGCCCGCTGTGCCCCTCTGCTGCAGGCCTGTGGGTGCCCGCTCTACTGGAAGGGGCCGCTGTTCTGCAGTGCCGGGGGAGAGCGCACGGGCGCCGTCTCTGTCCACAAGTTCATCGCCATGTGGAGAAAGTGAGTCTCGGGCCTGCGCGCTGGGGGCGGGTGCCGGGAGGGGAGGCTTGTCCCCAGCCCTGCGCGTCCCGGGGCAGCTGCCGCCTCACGGGCTCACACTGCTGTGGCCGAGACGGCCGGAGGATGGAGCTGAGCCCCAGGGCACGTGGCTCGCTGTCCTGTCCCCTCCGGCCAGCGCGTGACGCACGTCCTCGTCCTTGCAGGGTCCTGCAGAGCTGTCACGACGACGCCGCCAAGTTCGTCCACCTGCTCATGCGTCCCGGCTCGAACTACCTGGTGCAGGAGGACTTCATCCCCTTCTTACAGGTGCGCCTGCGCCACTCGCCGCTCCCCTCCTCCGGGCCCGCCCCCGTCGGCACCACACAGAAGCCAGGGGTCGGGCTCCCTTCCCTCAGTCCTGCTTCCCACAGACGTGGCTCAGGGACCCGCGCCTCGTGACTGTGATGGGACCCCGTGTGCCACGCGGTATAGGTGTGTGAGCGGAGGGGCCACGTGTGCCACGCAGTGTAGATGCGTCAGCGGAGGGACCACGTGCAGTTCCAGAGCATGAGGCCACAGAGACAAAGGGACTGCAGCCCTTGGCTGTGTCATCTGATGCCTCAAAAGAGGCCGTGGTGTTCCAGAACATCCTGTGCCTCCCTTCAGGCCGAGGGCATCGTTGCACAGACAGAGCGTCGAGGATGGACGGTTCTTTTGTCCTCGGATCGTCTGTGCCACTGTTCTGAGTGCCAGGATTATTCCAGCACATGTGACCTAAAGGCCGTGTGACCGTAGCGCGTAAACCGAGGGCATTTAAAACCTCCCTGGGGACCTCGGCGCGGGCCCTTGTGTCTTCACACGCGTTGAGTCCCGGTCAGCGGTCGGAGATCACGGGGCTCGCTGTCGTGCACCGGGGCCGTGTGGGTTTCGCAGCCTCACTCCCCCGGATTCTGTCCTGTGAGCAGCCGTAGGGCCGGAGGGACCCGTGCGCAGCAGCCCCGTCCCTGGGGAGGCGGCAGGGGCTGGTGACAGACACGGGGTCCCGTGCTCGGCGGGCGCCGTGCGAGTCCCCGAGTACCGTCTTATGTTCCGTGTGCAGGACGTGGTGAACACGCACCCGGGCTTGGCTTTCCTGAAGGAGGCGTCCGAGTTCCACTCTCGCTACATCACTACCGTGAGTACACGGGCGCGGCCGGCTGCTGCGGGCCCCCGTTCCAGCCCCGGCACCCACAGGAATGAGCGGCCTGGGCCTCGGGCCGTGGCCCATCTGGACCCCGATGTTCTCACCCACGGATGAGATGTTGGCCGCGCCTGATGAGCGGGGCTGAGCACGGGGTCTTGAGAGGCAGGTGGCCTGGGACTGAGCCCGTGCGTCCGGACGTCCGTCGCCAGCACGGGGCGGGGGTGGGGGTGGGGGGGACGTCCCGGAGACCCGTGTGCTCTCCCTCCCTGGGGGCTGCTGCCGCTCACCTGGGACCCCGTCTGGGCTCTCGGGAACGCGTGTGGCCGCGCTTCGGGCCACGAGGTTCGGAAGCACTTGCGTCCACAGCCCAAGCGTCCGGCACGCGCAGAATGGGTGCCGCGGCCTCACCGTGCCCCGGCGCTCTGCTGACGGCCCTCCCTCCTGCAGGTGACACAGAGGATCTTCTACTCCGTCAACAGGTCCTGGTCGGGGAGGATCACGTGCGCAGAGCTGCGCAGGAGCACCTTCCTGCAGGTGGGTGGCCGGCCGGCGGGCACGTGGGCCTCCGTGCGTCCCCACCCCCGTCCGCCCGCCTTCCTGTCCGCCCTCCTCCGTCTTGGGTCCGCTGGTCCCTCCGCCACCCTCCGCCGTGGACCGTCCACCCAACGCTCTACCCGTCCATCCGCCCTCCACCCCACACCATCCGTCCTGCGCCCTCCATCCTTCTCCATTTGTCCTGCGTCCTCCGTCCTTGTGCCATCCGTCCTGCGTCCTGTCTTCTGCTCTTTCCCGTCCGTTCTCCATCTTCTCTCTTCCAGTCTCTTCCATTCCTTCTCCATCCTTTTGTCTCCACTTGTGCGTCCCCGTTCTCCGTGCTCCTCTGCCGCGACCTTCCTCTGTCTCCTGTCCTTCTCCTCCCATTCTCTATCCCGTCTCCCACTCTCTTCCATCTGTCCTCCGTCCGTCACCCATTCGTGCCCCGTTCTCCACCCTCCTCTCTCCGTCTGTACCCATCGACCCACGCATCCTGCAGGAGAAATGACCCCTCGGCCGTGGGGAGCAAGGTGTCGTCTTCACTCAGGTTCGGTGCACACGTGGGCAGTCGCGAGGAGGGCGGCCGTCCGCCCACGTAAAGAGGCCCGAGGCTGTGAGAGGCTCGGCACTCGCAGGGCTGCCGCGTGTCGCCAGCAGTACGCGGGCTGAGTCTCGGGCACAGCCCTGACGGCAGTGCGCTCCCGACCTGGGTGCTGTGCTCCCAGCCTCAGGCCTGACTTGACCGGTTCTGGGCTCTCCAGGGACCCCTGGGAGGTCCTACCCGCAGGAGACGCGGCTGCCGTGACAAACACCCTGTTGGGTTTGTTTTGGCAGAATGTGGCGCTCTTGGAAGAGGAAGCGGACATCAATCAGCTGACAGAGTACTTCTCCTACGAGCATTTCTATGTCATTTACTGCAAGTTCTGGGAGCTGGACACGGACCACGACCTTCTCATCGATTCCCAGGACCTGGCCCGGCACAATGACCACGGTGAGGGTGCGGCCTGTGTGGGACAAGGGGACCGACGAGAGCGGGTCCCTCAGGCACCCCGCCCTGTCCAGTACCACCGGCCATGGCCGGCTCCCGGGGCCTGCGGCCCAATGTCTAAAACTGCCTTCCCCGGTCTCCGGGAGTGGACTGTTCCTGCAGGACGTACATGTGGGAGACACAGGCTGCACACGCACGAGACACGGGAGGGACAGGGACACACGTGGGACGTGCAGGACACACAAGATGGGGACAGACGTGGCTCACGATGTACACAGGAGACGGACGCACACGCGCGGGGTGCTGACCTGCCTGCATAAGGAGGCTCCAGCTGTACGAGCGCTGGTGCCGCGGGGTTGCCTGCGGCAGCCAGGCTTGAGGCTGGGCTGCGACCCTGACCTGGGTGTTGTGCCAGGAAGGCAGGCGGAGGAGCTCCGAGCTGACGCCGTCCCGTGCGGCCCACAGAGGCAGGTGTCCGGGAGGAGCCGTGTGTTCAGTGTTTGCCTGTGTGCATCCGGGCGAGCGGTCGCGGTCTCTGGCTGCTGTGACGGGGGCCTAAGGGGACAGCAGACGATCCTCAGGGCGTCCAGAGTCGAGGACTTTGCGGACCGTGTCCCGGGAGGGCTGTGCAGGAGTTTGCGGAAGGACTTGTAAGCAGTGACCACAGCCCGGGCCCTCGCACAGCAGGAGCGCACCGTCCCCCAGCTCCGGGGACCAGAGGCTGAGATCCAGGCGGGGCAGGGCCGTGTCCCAGGGGAGGGTCCTGCCCGCTTCTGGGGCTCCAGGCGTCCTTGGGCCTGTGGACGCTGCCCTCCCGTCTCTGCCTCCATCTTCCCGCGGCTTCTCTTCCGTGTCTGTGTCTCCTCTTGCAAGAGACGCTGCATTTAGGGCCTCCGTGATCCAGGATGGGGTCATCTCAGGGCTTTCTCTGAATCACATCTGCCAAGACCTGTTTCCGTTCAAGGCCGCACGTCCGGGTTGCAGGAATCAGGACTTGGACGTGGTTTTCTGGGGAGGCACAATTCAGCCCGTTGTGACACCCAGTCATCTCGTACCCGGGCGACCTCCATTAAGGTGTAGGATGCGTTGGGAGATGTGGAAAGAGACGGTCTTCGTTCCTCCGTCTTGTGGGTGCCGGGATTGGTGGGTGCCGAGCCGTGGCCCTCCAGAACTGCCTCGCTGGAGGCGCGCTCTCCGGGTCTCCAGAACGGGACCGGAGGTGCCAGTGGGGTCTTTACAGAGGGCATTACGGTAACACGAGGTCAGTCGGTGGCCCTGATCTCCTAGGACGGGGGTGTCACAGGGAGAGGGGATGGGGACACAGACACACACGCACGGGCGACCGCGTGAGGACACGGGGAGCACCCGGGGTCTGCACGGCCCGGGGCGAGGCCTCGGGAGAGCCCGCCTCGGCCCCGCCTGGGTCTCGGGCTCCCCGCCCCCCGGGACGGGGAGAGGATAAGCCTGTGTTGTCTGAGCTGGCCCGTCGCGGTGCTCTGTGACGGCTGCGGCAGCGGAGCGACGCGGTGCTCTTCATTCTCGTTTGTCCGCTTGTAGTTACAGACGTTGGCTGTGACCACAAAGCGAGAGCGTTTGCAGGCGGAGCATCTGAGCGCGACTCTGCTGGTCACACTGCCTCTGTCTCGGTGGCCCCGGGGCGGCTTTCACTCTGCCGCTCTGATTGGGCTCCATCGTGGGGACGGGAAAGCTGTGGGCAGCGCCCTGGGGGGGACACACGCGGGACAGGAGGTTCCCCGGGTGCCACCCCCCCCCCCCCGGGCTGGGGGTCGGCGTCTCAGAGCCGACCGGCCCTCCGAGCCCCGGGCGCCGGCTGCTGGGCCCCGGCCGCGGGTGTGTGCGGGCGGCTCACGGCCTGACTCTGTCTCTGCAGCCATTTCCACCAGGATGATCGAGAGGATATTTTCGGGGGCTGTGACGAGGTACGTCTTGAGGTCGTCGTCTTGTGCTTGTGGCCAGCGTCCTGTGCCTGAGTCCGCTTCTGTCTCACTTGTTCCATAACGTGAGCTGCTTGTCGAGGGCGAGTGCCGTTGTCGTGGCAGGTCGTGAGGAGGACACATGTGACAAGGACCTTGTCACACAAGCTCATAAATAAGGGAGGATACGTGCTACTGTCACGTGAGCTCACAGTGGAGGACATCTTTGTCACGGGAGGTTATTATGAAGGGAGACACGTGCCATTGTCACACAGGCTCGTAAGGGGAGACACAACTTTGTCATGTGATGTCACTGGGGGACGCACAGAGTTCTGTTACACCAGATCGTAAATAAGGGAACATACCTCTTTGTCACGTGAAGTCATAAGAACGGGGGGCAAACACCATTCTTGCATGAGGTCATCAGTAAGGGGTGGGGGAGGACCGGCCCCACGTTGGTGGGTCATGTCAGGCCCTGGGCGTCTGAGGGGGCCCTGGAGTAGGGGCATCAGAGGCCATGAGGCGGCTGTGACTGAGGCCACAGAAGCCACCCCTGCCCCGTCTGCAGTCCCAGGGCAACCTCTGCGGGCCTTCCCCAAGCGGGAGCCTGGCTTGGGACAGGGCCAGACGCAGGGAGGCGGGCAGGGCCTCTCACCTCACCTTCTCCTCCCGACGTATGTTCTGTCTGTTGGTCTCCACCCTGAACCCAGGGGCAGAAAAGTCCAGAAAGAAGGAAAAATAAGCTACGCTGACTTTGTTTGGTTTTTGATCTCTGAAGAAGACAAAAAAACTCCAACCAGGTACGTATTTGATGGCTGTCCCGGTACAGCAGTTGGAGGCCGAGGGCTAGCGGCTCTCCCTGAGCATGGGCGCCACCAGGGGTCCATCCAGGCAAGGCCGGTCCCTGGAAGGGTCCACACTGGGCAGGGCCGGCCTGGATGGCGTCCTCCCTGGGTGCAGTGAGGCCCGGTGGGTTCAGTCCCCAGCTGGCGCTGACCGTCTGTCTGTGACTGCAGCATCGAGTACTGGTTCCGCTGCATGGACCTGGATGGGGACGGCGCGCTGTCCATGTTTGAGCTGGAGTACTTCTATGAGGAGCAGTGCCGCAGGCTGGACAGCATGGCCATCGAGGCCCTGCCCTTCGAGGACTGCCTCTGCCAGATGCTGGACCTGGTGAAGCCACAGAGCGAAGGTAATGTTCCTGGAGATGGAACGCCCCATGTGAGGGGATGACCCCTCGTGAGGGACGTGTCGTGTGAGGAGAAGTACCCTCGTGATGGGATGTTTCCGTGTGAGGGGGACACATCGTGTGAGATGTGTCCCTGTGTGAGGGGACACGTACTGTGAGGTGATCTCTACCCCCCGCCCCTGTGAAATGTGATGCCCCCCCATGTGAGGGGATATCCTCCTGTGTGAGGGGACACATCATATGGTTGATTTTTCCCCCTGTGAGCTATGATGCCCCCCATGTGAGACGTTCCCCTTTGTGAGGGGACACATTGTGTGAGGTGGTTCCCCCATGTGAGATGTGATGCTGCCTCCACCCATGTGACATGTCCCCTTGTGTGAGGTGACATGTAATGTGAGATGATCTCCCCTCACCCCCGTGAGATGTGATGCTCCCCCCATTTGACGGGATGTCCTCCTGTGTGAGGGAGACACATTGCATGAGGTGGTTCCCCCTGTGAGCTGTGATGCCCCCCCATATGAGACCTCCCCTTTGTGAGAGGACACATCATGTGACGTGATTTCTCCTCTCCCATGAAATGGGATGCCTTATGTGAGGAGATGTCCCTCTGTGTGAGGAGATACCTTGTGTGAGGAGATGTGTGTGTGAGGTAACATGTCATGTGAGATGTCCCCATCTGAGGGGGCATGTAATGTGAGGTGATCTCCCTTCCCCCCCCCCGAGATGTGATGATGTGATGTCACCCCATGTGAGGGGATGTCCTCCTGTATGAGGGACACATCATGAGGTGATTTTCCCCGTGAGATGCGATGCCCTCCCCCTTGTGAGATGTCCCCCTGTGTGAGATGTCCTCGTGTAAGGGGGACACATCCTTTGAGGTGAGTGTCCTTCCCCCGTGAAATGTAATGCCATGTGTGAGGAGATGTCCACCCTGTGTGAGAACACAAAATGTGAGAGAATGTCCCTGTGTGAGGAGACATATGATGTGAGGTCATCTCCCACCCTCCCCATGAGATGTGATGCTCTTCCGTGAGGGGATGTCCCTGTGTGAGGGGACATGTCTTGTGAGGTGATTTTCCCCTGTGAGCTGTGATGCCCCCTCATATGAGATGTTCCTCTTGTGAGGCGACACATCGTGTGAGGTGATTTTCCTCCTGTGAGATGTGATGCTGCCTCCCCCCATGTGAGAAGTCCTCTTGTGTGGGGAAGTGTAATATGAGGTGATGTTCCCCCCCCCATGAGATGTGATGTCCCCCTGTGTGAGGGGACATGTAATGTGAGGTGATCTCCCCTTGCCCCCGTGAGATGTGATGCTCCCCCCATTTGAGGGGATATCCTCCTGTGTGAGGAGACACATTGTGTGAGGTGGTTCCCCCCGTGAGCTGTGATGACCCCCCCATGTGAGACCTCCCCTTTGTGAGGGGACACATCGTGTGAGGTGATTTCTCCTCCCCCATGAAATGTGGTGCCTTGTGTGAGATGTCCTATGTGAGGAGACAGGTTGTGTGAGATGTTCCCCTCTGTGAGACGGCACGTAATGTGAGGTGATCTCCTCCCCCCGCCAGGAGATGTGATTATGATGTTACCCCATGTGAGGGGATGTCCTCCTGTATGAGGGGACACATGAGATGTGATGCCCTCCCCCTCGTGAGATGTCCCCATGTATGAGATGTCCTCGTGTGAGGGGGACACATTGTGTGAGGTGATTTCCCTTCCCCTTCCCCCATGAAATGTCATGCCCTGTGTGAGATGTCCCCCTGTGTGAGGAGACACAATGTGAGAGGATATCCCTGTGTGAGGGTGACACCTCACGTGAGATGTCTCCCTGCGTGAGGGGACACATAATATGAGGCGATCTCCCCCCCCCATGAGATGTGATGCTCCTCCACGAGGAGATGTCCCTGTGTGAGAGGGACACATCGTGTGAGATGTCCCTCTGTGTAAGGGGACACATAATGTGAAGTGATCTCTATCCCCCGCCCCTGTGAGATGTGATGTGATGCCCTCCCAACGTGAGGGAATGTCCTTCTGTGTGAGGGGACACATCGTGTGAGGTGATTTCTCCCAGTGGCTGTGATGTCACCTCCCCCCCGTATGAGATGTCCCCCTGTGTAAGGGGTACCCGAGGAGACATTCCCGTGGTATTGTGTCCCTACCTGCGTGAGGGTAAGTCCCCTCTGTAAGATGTGAGGGGCACCCCATGTGAGATGTGCTCGTGTGAGGGGATCCCCCCGTGTGAGATGTCCTCTGTGGTATGCCCGCATGTAAGGGATACCCCATGTGATGGGATGTTCTACCTGTAAGATGGTTTGCCTCTGTGTGAGGGCACATTTCCCTTGAGTGAGGGGATTCCCTCATATAAGGAGATGTCCCCATGTGAGGTGTGATACCCCGTGTGAGAGACACCCTTGTGAAGGGACACCCACTCAGGGAATGAACATCCCTACTCTGAGTTGGTGACGGGGCTGAGGGGGCGGTCTGGTACCAACCATATTGTCACAAGACCCTACTCAGGACTGGGTGAGCTGGTGTCACGTGTGACGTGAGCACCCGGTTTATCGGTGGTGGTCACTGTTGGGTGTGGAGACAACACAGTGTGTCCCGGCTGTCCACCTTCCCCTGTCTCCTTCAGGCCCCGTGTGTCCCGCCTCGGCTCTCACCTGTGCTGAGGGCCCTGTCCTGTTGGGCGAGCATACTGGTCCTGCCAGGGTCAGGAGGGCAGATGTCCCTGACTCCACGTGTCCCTGGATTCCCACCTCAGGGACCTCAAGCCCAAGTTCCTGGTGTGGGGCGGTGCCCTGGGCACCTGTCCCCTTCTCCTCCCCTCCTAGGATCCTACCTGGGATCCTCCTGGCATCCCGCAGCTGAGAAGCCTGTGTCCAGGGAGAGGCCAACTGTGCCACAAGGAGGGACCCCGGGACACTTCAGAGGTCAAAGGGACAGAGGGAGACGTTTCGCAAACTGTGATACGTAGATTAGTGTTGTTTCCACGTTGTGGGATCCTGGTCGGCGACTGTTTATGGTCTTTGAGAGTCGTTCTGGGCCATCACATCCAGGTCCTCCTCCCCAGCGGTGGCTTTCTTCCTGTCCTTCCGTCCCGCTCCGTGATGTGTGCCTGGGTGCCCCCTGGTGGCCCGAGACTGTTCTTGTCTGTCTTCTGGCCCATTCGGGGACCCCCGGCTTCTGGTCCGCAGCGCTCCGGACCTAGCCTCCCGCCCACACAGCAGCCACCTCCCGCGGCCGCCTTAGGCCCAGCTGGGCAGGAAACGTGGTATTGCGCCACGTTCTCTGAGCCACGTCGGACGCCGATTCGCGCGAGTCCGTCTGGGCCTAATCGTCGGAACCGTCTCGCGTCCTGCAGGGCAGATCACCCTCCGGGACCTGAAGAAGTGTAAACTCGCCCACGTGTTCTTTGACACCTTCTTCAACATCGAGAAGTACCTCGACCACGAGCAGAAGGAACAGGTCTCCCTGCTCAGGGTGAGTGTGGCGAGGAGCACGCGGGGTGCCGGCCGCGTCCGCGCCGCGTGACACGCGTGTTTTGTCCAGGAGAGCGCCAGCGAAGGCCCCGCGCTGTCCGACTGGGAGAAGTATGCGGCCGAGGAGTACGACATCCTGGTAGCCGAGGAGGCTGCAGGGGAGCCGTGGGAGGACGGGTGAGCGTGGGACGGGACGTGGGGACGGCCCGGAGGGACGCGGGTGGTAGGTGGGCACTGGGCGCCTCCCTTCCCGTGTCCACCTGACTCCCAGCGGGCTCAGGCCGGAGACGGTGGCTCGTGGCGGCTGCCTGCCCGCGTCCTTGGGGCGCCGGGCACGTTCACGAGACAAGCGTGGGCAGCTCTGGGTGGGGAGGAGAAGGTGCCGCTGGGTGTCCTGAGTCCCGCAGGAAACGCACACACACGCCCGGCTGCGGCCTGGGCGCGGGCCCGGCCCCAGAGGGGCTCTGAGAGGCCCCTTCCCAGGGTCCCGGGGGCTGCCGACCCGGGACCCGCGTTCGCAGAAACCCCAGAACCCTGGCTGTGAGAGCAGGGGGGCCCGGCCCCGGCCTGTCCCGGGACTCCGCATCTGCCCCTTTCCCGGACACAGGTTTGGAGGTGCTCCTGCTCCTCTGCCCCCAAGAGCGGGGCCCAGGAGTCCAGCCAGCAGGGACCGGGGCAGGCCGTGCCGTCAGGCTGCGTGAGGCCTAAGGCCCAGAGCCCGGCCCGGCCCCATCCCCCCGCTAATAGCCCTCCTGCCCACATGCTCCCCCGGGCTCCCGGCCCGCATCATGGCCAGCTCCCTTCTGTCCCGACCCTTGGGTCACCGGGATCCTGGCACATCGCATGGCCGGTCCCTTCCTCCCACCAACTGAGGGGAATGCTCACAGCCCAGGGCTGGGTCCCGGAGAGCCTGGCTTGGACGACGGCCCAACAGACCCCCCATGCGCCCCCGCCAAGAGTCGCCGCGGCTGGGAACCTTGTCCTTGGCATTTGCTCATGAGACCAATGCAGGGAGCCAGGCCTCGAGGCCCCTTTGCCGCCACCGTCCCCTCCCCCGTGACGGAGTGCATGTGGGATCGGCGGGGGTTCCTGCTCCCAGGCCTGTGGCCCTTCCCAGTCCCCGCTCCACTCTCCGGGCCTGGGCCTTCAGGTGCGTACACAGGCCTGGGTTCCACGGTGGGGACGCAGGTGTCCCACACACTCCTGATGGGCGCTTGTCACACGCATGTTCTCTGGTGCCTGGGTGGGGGTCAGGCAGGGTCAGGTGTGTTTGCACACGTGGTATACAGGCCCGGACTAGGACTGGAGCCCACGGTAGGGCGTCCCCTCCACCCTCAGGAATGGGACCTCCATGCGGGAGCTCTGGGTTTGGTGGCACAGGGCTGCCTGCTCAGGGGTCCCAACCCCCAGTTCGAAGAGGATCTCAAAACGGCAGGGGACACTTGGAGCGACCCCGGGCCCTCCGCAGTCAAGTTCGGGGCAGGGGCTGGGCTTCGCCCGGCAGTTGTGGTTTTCCTGGACACCGCAGAGGCGGGACCCGCCGTCCCCTCACAGGCTGTGCCCGCATAACCTGTCGGCAAGCCGCGGCTGTTGGTGGGTGCGTGGGGGACTCGTGTCCTGGCTGAGCAATTTCCCGGCTCCAGGTGGCCCCCTGCCGGGCCACAGACGGTTCTCATCTGGTTCTGGACAGATGTGAGCAGCGCCGCCGCGACCACCCCCACCCTGGCCTCGTGTGGACATGGGTTCTCACGTCTCTGGGCTCCGTGCCCAAGGCCGCGGATCACGAGGGGTCACCTGTAGACCTTCTGCAGAACCCGCGCAGTGACGTCCCACGTGGCCGCCCTGGGGACGGTCCTCGCTGGCCCGCTCGCTGGCCCGTGTCCTCGCGGTCTGTGTGTGGTGGTTGACAGGTCAGCCCGTCCCGGGCGTGGCCCCTTGTGCCCGTTGTGTGTTTGGGTCTTCGCCGTGGTCGGTCCCCCGGGGGGTGTGCTGGGTCTTTGTGCTTCTGTGCCTTGGGCCGTCCGCTCTCTCACTGAGGCTTCCGGGCCCCGGGTGCGAGTTCTGTCGGATCCGTGGTTGGCTTTCCCTCCGCACTCGCGGCCCTGTTTGTTGGAATGTGTGTCCGAGACGCTGCTCACGCGGAGGAGGTTTTAGGTTCCCGTCCGCTGCCGCCTCGGACTATGCCTCTGGTGTCCGGGTCACACACTGCTGGCCTTGCCCCAACCCACCGCGACCTGGCCCAGGATTTAGGGCTTCCCGGTCCACGTCCCGGTCCACGGCCTGTGCTGAGTTGCCGTGGGGCCCCAGCGGAGGGTCCAGGTTCCTCCCCCGGTGCTGGGGCTCCGTCTGGGGCGGAGCCACCCACGGGGCCAGCACGCGTGATTACGGTGAGGCGTGCGTGTGCCCTTCTCCCGACCGTACCAGGTCTGCTCGCGTTTCCGCAGGAGTCGTGGAACCCGCCTGTGGCTCTCGGGGACAGGCCCGCGTGCCCAGGGCCGGGTCTCGGGTGGCGGTTGGAGAACGGAGTCCCCGGCCCTGCTGGCGGGAGGGGGGGTTTCGGACCTGTCTGTGCTCTTCACCAGCCACCCGTACCGGCATTGCGTCTGTGGCTGCGCCGAGACCCGGCAACCCGTGGTCGGATCCCACCGGCGTTCCTTCTCCGGTCGTGCCGTCGGTTCCTCGGCCGATACGGCTAATTTCAGGATAAGCTTGTCCATTTGTACACAACAGCAGGGGAAGGTTCGATTTTCCCAAAATCCCAGGTGGGGTGGAGACGGCCGGTCTCGAAGGTGTCCTCACCCACCAGCGTGTCTGTGTGCTCGGGTCTCGGGCTCTTAGCCTGGACCTGTCTGTGCTTGGTCACGCAAGCGCTTCTTGACACGGGGTATGAGAACGGTGCTTTAACCCCGAGGTCGTGGTCGTTCGCGGGACGCGCGCACTGTCCCGGCGCATCCGTCCGCGGCGTGCACGTGTGTCCACGCACCTGCCGGCCGCGGGGGCGTTTGCCTCGGTGCTTTGGGACTCCGTGTGGACAGGCGCGTTGCCGGTGAGGACGCCTTCTTGTTCGCTGCCACGCTTCTAGAACATCCGCGACAGTGCGGGGCGCAAGGGAGCGCGTGTCCTCCTGCGGTTCCCAGTCCTGCACGCACACGGGTCGTTACCGACCCCAAGCTCTGATGTCGGCCCAGAACACACGCGGCCTCCTGTCCGATGCCCTTGGCTCCGGCACCTGTGGATACTGGCCTCGGGAGGACCAGCCTCCCACACCCCCGAGAAACCCCGCTCAGTCTCCAACCCCGTCCACAAACTTGATCTGTGGCCTCGTACCTCGTGGCTCCGCGTCTCGTGCTGGCGTCCAGGGAACACTGCCGTCCGAGTGCAGGCATGCTCCTGCTCCTCCCTTCAGGAGGAAGGAACCCGCCAGGGACCGCTCCGGGCCTGGGGCTCCCATGCGGTAAGCTCCCAGCTGACCGGGGGCTGCCGGCAGTGTCCCGCCCCGGCCGGGACGGCCCCTGGGTGCTCACCCTCCGCTCCTTGCAGGTACGAAGCCGGGCCCAGCCCCGTGGACCAGAAGCTGGGCTCCCTGAGGTCTCCGCTGGCCCAGAGGCCCTTCTTCGAGGCGCCGTCCACCCTGGGCACCGTCGACCTGTACGAGTACGCGTGTGAGGACGACGACCTGCCGCCCGCGTGACCTGGGCCCAGATCTGGACGCAGAGCCACTGTCCTGTAAAGGACAGGACTGTTTGATCGTTGACCTTTGATAGAAAATGAAGTAATTTGTATGGGATGAAAAGTTTTTTATTTATCCAACACGGAAGCCGGTCCGGTGGTCATTGAGCGTGTGTCCCCGCGTGTCCGGCAGGAGATGCTGTCCGTCCGTCCGGAAGCCCCTGGCTGGGCCCAGCGGGGAGAGACGTGCCGTGTAGGTCCTGAGTGCGGGTGTGTGGAGACTCACCGGCTCGGCCGACCGTCTCCTCGGAGGGGAGCGACGGCTGCAAAGGGGCAGCCCCGGGGGCGTGAGCCGTGCACCGACCCCCGGGTGTTGGACGGTCCTGCGCCGTTCTCATGCGTCAGTCAGGAACATTCCAGGGGCCCCGGGACTCTCCGTCCGTGCACAGGCGCGTCTCCGGGCGCCGCCCCAGCCGCAGCCCTGCACGCGGGGTACGGGATGGAGCACGTCTCGTGTGTACTTACGTGTTCGTGTCAGTGTACAAAACGTGTAAAGTTAACTTTTATTTGGTGTGTGTAGCAGTTTAAAAATGTTTTATGAGATCACGTTTGTATTTTCGAATAAAGAATTTAAGGATTTTCTGTGATGGGCTCGGCTCGCCCAGCCCACGACAGACACAGCACACAGAGATCACAAAGGGCACACATGCCAGGCAGGGACGCTACTGGGGACAGACAGCGGTGACACCACGGGAGACCATGCCGTGTGCACAGCTCTGGGGCACGGCAAGTCCAGCCGAGGGTCACGAGCCTTGGGGCCCGGTGTGTCTATCAGGGTGTCCCTCCTGCCGAGCTCTGCCCGCGGGCAACCCATGTTCTCGAGGCCACCATCAAGGGCTATGCTTCCCCACAGCAGCTGCCACGGTCCCGGGGAGGGGACAGCCAGAGGCACAGGTGTCCCTCCTGGACGGCAACCCGCCAGGCCCAGGTCTGCGCAGGTCTGAGCTCCCCAGGCCCATGTCTCCACAGAACAAACCCCTAGGCCCAGGTCTACACAGGGTCCCCCAGGCCTGAGCTCCTGTGCCCATTCTCGCCCGGGCATGACCGGCCGGAGTCCTCTCCGCGGCCCGACCTTGCTCTCCGTGTCCACTCGGGGCGTCCTCCTGCACACCGTGGCCCAGAGAGCTCGGTTTGGCACCAACACGGATCGGAGGCGCGGAGCCCCCTGCGTGTCGGGGTCGACGGCCAATGCACGTCCTGCCCAGCCCGCGTCGGACGCAGCCAGTTTGTCCCAGCGTGCAGGAGCGGAGCCGACCACTGGCCGCGGGCTCTCTGCACCAGACGCCGGGAATCGCCCAGCCGCGGCGTCCTGAGCCGGGAAAGGAAGCGCGGACGGCCCAGCCAGAGCCGCGCCACACAGGAGCATGCCCGCCGTGGGGGCCGGCACTGTGGTCCACAGCGGGCGAGGCGGCTTTTGGGACCTTCCAGCCAAGCACAGGGGTCGCCAGAGAAGCCGCAGGTGGGTAGGCACCTGGTGGGTCGGTGGGGGGCGGGGGTGCGGGCACCCCAGGGGCCCCAGTCCACGGTCACGTGACCCTCTCTCCTCACTCGCGGCCGGAGTGTGCAGGTGCGGGAGGCGGGGGTCACTGCCGTGCGCCTGGAGCCCCGGGGGTCTGCGTCAGCCACACCTGGACGCCATGGGCTCTGCAAGCCCAGGAACTCAAGTGGACCACCGAGGAGGAACTTGGAACTGCTGACGGAGTCCCACAGGGCCCGAGTCCTCTTCAGTCCGACGTGCCCTGGGGACAGAGAGGGTGACGCTCAAAACCACAGACACATGGACGGAGAGGTGGACAGCGGTGCACGCTGTGGCCAGGCTGGTTCCCACTCAGCGTGGGGTGGGAACACTGGGTGGGCTGCACAGTGGACGGAGGGCACCAAAGCTTGGCCAGGACGCGGGTGGGCGGGGGACACGGCCTTCTGCTGACTAAGACCCCAGGCTGACGCACAGACCCTGGCCCCCGGTGTCCGTGGCAGGGGACGGGGCTGTCCACACGAGGCTGCCGTGCCAGAGCGCCACTCGGAGGGCCGCACCAGACCCGCGGATCCTGGAGACCTGACTTGGGGGCCAACGGGCAGGAGCCAGATGCCGAGGACCCCAGGGCACCCTAAAACCCAGTGTCCTGAGCCAAGCAGGCCAGGTGATGGGCGCCACACCCAGCCTCGGGGCCCCAGCTCACCGAGGGAGCCTGGATGCAGCCGGGCACCTGGGACGGCTCAGGGCCCTGCCTCATCGCAACCCAGCAGCCTCAGACGGTCCACAGGCCACACACCGGGTGAGCTGCCGGACCACAGCCGAATCCCGCCACCCCCTAACGTGCGGACGGACCTGCCTCCACCCCCAATGGGCACAGAGGCCATTGTCACCCGGGAGACCCATCAGATGGGATGTCCTGCCTCTACACCACCCTGAGAAGCGTGGGCCGTGGCAGGAAAGGCAGGCCCGGGCCAGCGCCCCCACGTTGCCACCACCCACAGCGCCAGCCCACACCAACCTCGTGGACGGAGATGCCCTCCACGTCCACGTCTTCGTTGGAAGAGTTCTCAGAGTCCTCCGATGACAGGAAGTCGACATCAAAGACGTCCCTGCCGGAGACCAAGGATGTCTGCTTGCCAGGGAGACCAAGATAGGGCCCCAGGCTACAGCAGGGGCCGTGGGAGCCCAAGCCCTGGAGGGAACAGGTGTGTATGGCCCCAGAAAACACAAGACACGGAGAGACATGGACGAGGAACAGCCCTAAGTCACAGGCAACCAGTAACACCTCTAACGCTGTCACATCCCACCCTGCGCCGTGGACAGTCGTGGGCTGTGCTGGGCAGTTGGTGGTGGTGGGGGGGAGACGAGAGGAGTCCCCGGCTACACCCTAGAGCATGACCTTACAGGACAGCAGTCTCTGCACGTGTGCCAGACACAACCCTCTGCCTGCCTCAGACCCACACGCACACACGTCATTGCCTCAGACCCATGCGGACCGCCCCCAGCTTCAGACCAGCCCCGTCCCTGTCTCAGACCCAAGCGGGACCCACGTCACTGCCTCAGACCCACGTGGGACCCCCATCAGACCAGCATCCCTTCACGGCCATCCCAAGGCTCTGCTCTGGAGAAACCCGTAAGGCTGACCCGGAAACCAGGCAGGCAGAGGCCTGACAGGCTGCCCGCCGACGGCAGACCCTTGCACCCCAACCTGGAGTTCGAGGGCCTCACCTCTTGGACTTCTGGCCCTTGGAGGAATTCCGTGGCTCTCTGTCCCCCGCGCTGGAGCTGGCCAGGGTGTCTGGTGTCCAGGTGGAGCACGTCCCCACGGGCAACTCTGCGGGTGCCGGGAGTGGTCAGCCATGGGGCCCAAGGGCCACCCCTCCCGACCCTGGACACCCTTCCCACCTTGAGGCCGCTTGCTGTCTTTGCATATGGCGTCAAACGGGTTGGCGGCGGGCTCTTCCTCCCCCTGGGCCACGTAGTCTGTCCTTATCAGGGACTTGCGATAGACGAGCATGGGGTTCATGTCCCCTTCCCCAAACACAGGCAGGCCCTCGGGGATGGAGTCCTGGAAGTGGGTGAGTCTGCGGGCAAGGGAGCACGAGGCAGGGGGAGTCAGAGGACACCCAGCCCAGGTCCCCAGGAACCCATGGCCCCAGGCCCCCATGTTCAGGCTCAGGGCTGAGGCCCAAGGAACCGTGCTAGAGGAGCGCCACCTGGTGGCCACAGTCAGTGCTGCAGCCCAGAGCCCAGCGCCCCCCAGAACCCCAGACAGCGGCCCTGGTCAGTGCAAGGGCCCAGATAGGAGCCCTCACTCAGCAGAGAGCCTTCCGGTTTCCGCGTCCCCCGCCCCACCGGGCCACAGTCTGCGTTTCCAACCCCACACCCCCAGAGCCCATCCCCACGCCCACCATCCAGGGGTCCCACGTCCTGGGGGACTGGGGTACTCACGCAGCTTGTCGCTCTGCAGGGGGGATCTTGCAGGAGAACTCGGCCAGAACCAGCAGGAAGCTGAGGTTGGGGAACCTCTGCCGGGCCTCCTCCTCTTCAGGCACAGGGGACTCGGAAAAGGCAAACGCCAGCCCACGCCTGGGGACAGGGTGTGCAGTGGGGAGCTAGGGCAATGGGCAAAGGCAGACGGGGAACGGCTGGGGTGTCAAGTGGGGCTAACACGGGAAGTAGAAGGGTGGGGTCAGGTGAGGCTCAGGGCGCCAGGTGGGACTAACCTCAAGGATGTGGGCAAAACCGGGGAGCACAGCGTCAGGTGGGGTCAGACCGGGGGTGGGGGTCTCA